TACTTACCTGAGTTGGATGTGAACTGCAGAGGTGGCGCTGATGAGTAGTGACCACATTGATGACTTGGAGACAATCTGCAGGGTAGCGCTGATGCGTGGGAAGCCATATTGACGAGTTGACAAGAGATTTGTGTTGCGCTGATGAGCGCTGGACTCAGGGCAACTTTGAAACACTTTGTAATCATATTTCTGATAATATAAGCTGTGAAACTCGGTCCTCTTTCATCTACCTTTGTCTATGACTTGAGACTATTGATCATTGTGTGTGAGGATGAAGCATGACATATGTACACTTGCGTGAGATGGTCCCCAGGACCCATGCATACAGGTTCCCCTACCGATATTATCTTTAGAGGCCCCGTACGTGTACGTTCGCTAACGCAGCCCTTATTCTCATCCTTATCCTCACCCTTATCCTCATTCTTTTCCTCACCCTTATCCTCATCCTTATCCTCATCCTTAAATTTTTGAATTGCACACGATTCAATCGTTCAAATCGACGCTCACAGCCTCACACCCAGAGTAGTCACGCCGACAGTCGGCGGCCCTGGACCCGTCGGCTGCCGACCATCCGATGGTAGGTGCCGTCAGCGCCGACCAGTAGGCACCCTGTAAAAAAAAAACAAAAAAAAAAATTGGGGGGGGGGCCGGTCCAGAACTCCCAAATAATTGCGGATTTGGGCTGCTCAGTGCTCTCCTCAAGCCGCACACGACCATGTAATCAGAAAAAAAAATAAAAAAAATTGGCAGTCTGCCGACCGCCGACGGGTACGCCTACGGGTCGGCCCGACTGGTAGGCGCCAAAACAACCCTGCTCACACCCTTTTTTTTTTTTTTAAGCATCGCACTGTACTCGTCACCATTGTACTATCCGTCCACAGCCTCATTATCATGCTCTTTTTGCAGTAAACCTATTTCTGCACTCATATGGTGGTGGGTCATCTGAATCCTCGTCCTTTCCTGCAAACACGTTTGCAACTTTGCATCCTTGGGCCTCGCTCCAAAAAAAATACTCAAAATTTGAAATGTATCTGAACATTTTAGTGCTTCCGATACATGTTCAAAATGTTTGATCGGTTGGAACATATCTGGGCAAATGACACATGTTTGAATGCTGAGCATTGGAGCAAGGCCCCCCTTATCTGCATTTTTGCTGTGATCTCTTTATGTGCAATATTTGTCGTCTGCATTATTTTCTTGTCCTTGTCTTCTTGACTACCTTCCTTGCTGCTCCTTTTTTTTCCCTTTACAATCATCTGGGACAATTTCTCAAATGGTGTGTGTCATCGTTGTGCAGCGGCCATGCCAATCTTTTGTGTATCGTTGCAATTTTTTTCTTCCTTCTTTTTCTTCTTTTTGCAAGGAAAACGAGCGAGAGCGATAGGCAGAAAAGTTGAGAAAACCAAATTCCAACATCACATGGAAGACCAGATATTCGATAGTCGTGTACCAACAGAAAGTGGTATGCACCGAGATACAAGCGAAATAAGAGCAATGCAATGAACCCAAATGTCAATGTCAGGCCCAACTTGCCACTATCAATGACGTATCCAATGGGCGCTCAGCGTCCAGCCTACTACTACTCAGTACCTATACGACCTAGCCTAGATCTACGATGATGCAACCAGGAAACCCTCCAGCAGAAGACCAATGTACATGACGAAGTTGCCCTCGCAGACCACCGCATACCCATCATGTACGTGTCTCTTCTCTCTCTCTCTCTCTCTCTCTCTCTCTCTCTCTCTCTCTCTCTCTCTCTCTCTCTCTCTCTCNTCTCTCTCTCTCTCTCTCTCTCTCTCTCACCACCTTGACCCCCACAGTCTCTCTCCCTTGCCCAGGACCACCATTGCCATCACCAGCATAAGCAGGCTCAGCCTGGCTATGGATGACCTGCACGCTGCACTCAAGCAGCGCCCTGCCCAGCGCCCGTGTTGGCCGTCCAGCTTAGCCCGCAAGTTGACCTCCAGTGGCCAGTGCAGCAGTGCTGCCACGAGGTTCACTCCGAACTCCTTGTCTGGAGTGCGGGCGGCTCTTTCCTGAATGGAAAGAGGCCGACCTGGTCGGTCCTCTCGAGGCTCGCATCGGGACCCAGTGTCTGAAAAGGAACTGGGCCCGACAGTGGAGGTACTCCGGACGTGTGAAGTGGCGCACGCTGTTCGCTGCGCTCTCATTGGTCGAGAGCCGGCGAATGACATGTCGCCCAGTCAGGCTTCGGTGTCTCCCGAAGGGCCTGGTCGCACACGCACTCACAGTGGAGATCGCGACCAGGGCTCGCAGGCTCAAGAAAACCCATCCGCGTGCCCCGATAGCCCTGAAAAGAAAAAGGGGGCGGCCGCGGGTTGACCGGTAGACCTGGTGAGGGGTCAAAATCCTCGCATTTTTCTGAAGGGCGACGGCCTTGAGATATCATCATCAAACTGGCCGTCCCTAGGTAATTCAGAATTGTAGTATTTGAACTGTATTTCACTTGTCTGCTTCCAGTGGAGTTGGAACTCGCATCTGTATTTCAACAGTTCAGGGGTGTACCAAGTGAGCTAGGCCAGTTGGTAATCGTTCCAATTATTAACAGATGTCCCAAACTACTTTCCTTGCTGTTCCAGTCTTCATTCTTATACTTCTATTCTTAGTGCAATATTTGGCATTTCATCGGCAATCAAACCTGCAGCAGACAGTGTGTGATGGTCAGACCATACAAGTCTCAGAAGACCAGAACCTCTGTGTTTTCACTGATGCCCATCCTATATGCAAAGCGAAGTGGACGTACACATATCAAGAAGGCGAGAATATACATTACATTCAGCGTTGCAGCCGTGGTCTGTCAGCTGCCGACCGGTCGGCTCAGGTCGGCCTGCTGCACTTTTCCGTGGCGAGGCCGACCGGCCCAAAGGCCCGCTTTTTGGGCCTGCCGCCGGTGCCGGGGTGGTCGGCTGGTCGAGGCACGGCATGCGAGGCTGCCGACCGTCGACGCTGGCATTTCCACTGCAGCTTTTCCTCAAAAGAATGTGCCTGCCCACATTCTTCTCATTGATGATTACATTAAACATGTTGATAAAAGAAAATCAAAGAGAAGGGTGACTTCATAGTTTACTACAGCAGCATTCATGGAAAGGAGATTGCATGGCCAGACCTGGCAGCGAAAGGATAACCCTTCATCCATCGAAAGGACAACCCGTTCAGCCATCGAAAGGACAACCAAGCAAAGACTTATCTGTTTTGTTGCCCATTTGGTCTTGACTCAATGTAATTGGACTCTCTGGACTTGTCGTTTGTTTATCGACTTAGAGGAAATCAGATGGAGAGCATGAATCGAGCCGTCGAATGAAGACACAATTCCTTGTGGAGATGGAGGGCTGTGGGAACGGGAAAGATGAGAGAATTCTTGTCATTGGTAAGCTTGCACGCTTCTTTTTTTTTTTTTTTTTTTTTACTTAGAGCCTTTTTTTTTTTTTTTTTTTTTTTTTTTTTTAAGAGGTTTCCTGCCAGCATTGATTACCCTGGATTCCAGGGGATTGACTGAGCAGGTTATTGAAAACGCTGGAAAAAAAACAGCCACTGAACAGAATATTGAAGAAGCTGAAAAAAGTCAGCCACCACCAATCCTGCTATCAGTGGGGCCCTGGATGCCTGCCAGCATTGATTGCTCTGGTGATCAGAGGATTGACTGGGCAGGTATGAAAAGACGGCCAGATGGTACCTTTCTCCCTCCTCCTTCCTATACCCTAACAGGGTTCCGGGAGGGGCCACTGGGGGGCGCCAGTGGTTATTTCCTCATGGAGGATGTCATGTTGATCGGTGTATAACCACCACTACCTACACGCCTCTTTCATACGAGATGGATCCCCCCTGCGCACCAGGCTTTGCAGAAGAACCAACGCGACATTTTTTCGTTCTTTTCGCTAGCACTGACAGCCATTTTTGTCTGGTAGCGCCTGGCCTCCAAAGAGCCCCCCGGAATGTTACATCGTCGATTCTCGAAGTTGCGTGTGAAAGGTAGTGGTGGCTTAAGTTGTTCAGTTGTGGATATCTTTTTTCAAGTTTTTTGTGTTAAAGCACTAGTACCTCCGCCAGCGTTGGGGAGATAGGGAAAACTGCTGACAACTCTGCGGCGAGCCTCCAGAGGCTCGCTAGAGGCCTTCGTCGGCTCTCGCAAGAGTCGAGCCTCTTGTTCTGAACAATGTCGTAGTTCTCCAAAAAAATTGGGAGCGGGGCCCGACAAGTCGGCGCCGACGGCCGCTGTTGATAAATCTCATTGGTGGCCGTCGTTTCGTTTCGGCCTCCTAAAAGATCGGAGGCCCACCCGAGGCCTCCCTATGTTCCCAACTGGCGGAGGCACTCGTGGTTTAAACTTTAAATTTTAAAATCTTATCTGTGAATCTATGATGATATTATGAAATTTAACCCCATAGGTGCCTTTCCTGGTTACAGTTGGGAGATCCAGCGCCCCAAATTCCTTACCTTCGACAACTCCCCGCTTCGTTAAACCACCACTGCTCCCAAAGCAAAATAAGTGAACCTAATGATTTTCTCGAGCCTAGAGAGAGCACCGAAGCCAACAAACTTTGGGCCTACCAGGTCCAGCAGGGAGCAAAAACAATTGGCATATTTTTGCTGCCAGGAATTATTTTGCCATCCAGAAAAGAAAAAAAAAAAAGAACAGAAGAACCAGCATCTGCAAAACACTGTCTTTGTCTGTGTCTGGCGGGGGTAGAACGGGGGGTCTCCGCTCTAACTGTACAGCGGCGCTCTACCCGCGCCCTTCTACCGTCTTACCCCCAGTTGAACGGGGTAGAGCGGCCTCTGCAGAATGCCACTGCAGCCAGTGGGGAGGGCTCCACCCGGTTTCGGCGGCATGGGGGGGTGCAGCTGGCAGTTGGGGACCCTCCCGCACTGCCAGTTTTTTTTATTAAAAAAACAAAAAACTGCGCCCTGTCCAAAATGGTGGGAATCCGTTAGACACTTTCGTGGGGCTGACGGCTAGAGGGCACCGCCTCATGGCCTCGGCCTTCCAGCAGGAGCACATCATTCAGAAGTGCTCATTGCTAGTCCTACGCTGGAGGCATGGGGCAGCGTCCTTTGTACAGAGAGAGAGAGAGAGAGAGAGAGAGAGAGAGAGAGAGAGAGAGAGGGACATGTGCGGCGTTCCATAAAGGGGTGCTGCCATGTGGCAGCATATCGCGCTGTGGGAGGTATAGAGAGAGAGAGAGAGAGAGAGAGAGAGAGAGAGAGAGAGAGAGAGAGAGAGAGAGAGAGAGAGAGAGAGAGAGAGAGAGAGAGAGAGNAAATTTGGGGGGGGGTCTCTTTGGCGGGGTGAGGGGCTAGGGGAGGGGTATGAGGGTTTTTTTTTCCCTTTCTTTTTTCATTTGTGGGCGTCAGGCCCAGGGTGTGTGCCATCCACAGCCCCCTGCCGCCCGCACGTTTTTTAAAAAACAACGAGAAGGCCGCTTTTCCCCATTCAACAGGGTTAGAATGAGGGGTAGGGGGCGCAGATCGGCATTCGATGCGCGTCGAACTGCGCTCTACCCCGCCTACCCCTGTTCCTAGTTCTTTGTCTGTTTTTTTCTCCATTACCCTCTTGGGATGGGACATGACTGACACAGTCAACCTTGGCAATAGCAATGATTAGTCAAGACTCAATAGTCATCACACATCAACAGCATCCATAGGAGAACAAGGGGAGAGAGAGAGAGAGAGAGAGAGAGAGAGAGAGAGAGAGAGAGAGAGAGAGAGAGAGAGAGAGAGAGAGAGAGAGAGAGAGAGAGGTTCGCGGAGCTGGGGCGGCCGAGTCCAAGAGCCCCCTCCATCTCAGTTCAAAGGCCTCCAAGAACGGATTGGAACTTCTGCGAGTAGAACCAACGTCTGCGAAACTATGTTCTCAATCTGGATTTTTTTTTCATTTTTTTTTCATTTTTCTCAATTACCCTCCCTTTACTGGTTTTGACCCAGTAACACCCCCACCCCCAGTATGCAATTTACTGGGAGGGGGGGGCATGAGGTAATTGCATCAGGCCCTCCCATCAGACGGGGCGGCAGGGGGGGGGGGATGGAGGGACAGAGGGCGGGGTCAGCAAAGGGAGGGACGGAGGGAGCAATGGAGGGACATAGGGAGGAGTGGAGGAGTGGAGGAGTGGAGGGACTGAGGGACCGAGGGGGACTTATAAACAGAGGGAGGGATGGAGGGACAGGGGGAGGAATGGAGGGACAGACGGACGGAGGGAGGGGGGGACGGAGGGACAAAGGGAAACACCGTTGTCCCGGATGGTGCTGGGATTCTTCATGTAAACAAATGCATTTGGCACTTCCTGCTTAACTCTTAACTCACACATGCAAAGGGGGGCAAGATGGTTTGAGGTGTAACAAGAGAGAGGGAGAGGGAGAGAGATGGAAAATAATTTGTTCCTTTGCTTTCACTGCCTTTCAGGTGCAACAAACAGGCCACAAGAACTCGACGAAGCAGCACGGAGGAGAATGTCCAAGAGATTGTACATTCCACTACCTAGTCCAGGTGAGTTTTGCTTCAACTTCTA